TAACTACATCTGTGGAAGAACTAAAAAATATTTGAGATTTTTTATTTAGGGAATTTCCATTCATACTGAAGTTTACTTTTGAAACAAATTTTTCAATTGATTATAAACAACATTCCGACATTTTTGCAGTCCATTTTGAAGATAAAAAACATCAACAAAACCATTTGGGACAGTTGCTTTTTTTTTACATACATTCATTGCATTTTATGTTTTCGTTTGGTATTGATTTAAAATAAAAAAAATATTCTTCTTTGAAAGCCCACCAAAAAAAATTAAATTACCAAAGCATTCGTAAAGATAATATCAGTATGAAAATACTTTATTTAAATTTTTTTTTTTAACATGAACGAATTTTCATGAATTTTCAACGGAAATAATTGATTATGAAGTTACATGGTGGTGCTTATATGTAAATGGAAGACTAATATTTACTATTTCGTTCAGTGAAATGATTCATTAGATGAATTTTAGCATTTTACTTTCTCTTGATTTATGCACTGGTATGATATGCATGAAGGAAACAAAGTTTCCTGCCAACCTTTCAATATATCAAATTCAAAATAATTTATTATTATTAATTCCCGATAATTCCCTTTTGGAAATCTATAATTTCATTTCCAATAAAAAAGAAAAAATATAAAGTATTTATGCAAATGAGAGTATTTGATAAAAAACAACAGTTTGAAATTATAACTATGAATGACAGTTCTCATTAATTCTGAATAAATCGTATTTACAAATATAGTAAAATAAATATCCAATTGTCACTGATAAATTTTCTGTATGAATTATAAATTCTGAACGTTATTATTATATGTACCACCAATTAAAAGAATGTCCGGTGATTTCAGATTATTAAAAATATTTTTTATGACATAAGAAAGTATTATTAATGGACGAAAACATATTGAAAATGGTATTTATATTGGGAATATATTTTTAAATCGTTTGACAATAATCCGATAATTACCTAAAAATAAGTTTCTTACTCAAAGCCTGTGGTCTGACAAATTATCGAGAAATTATTAAACCCTAAAAATCGATTTCTAAAATTATAACAAATAAATCGAATGTACGATAAATTAGAAATTTAATTTAGAATCTACATTGTCTAAAAAATTAATAAACGTGCCGACGTAAATAGTCAACGATCAAACTTTTAATATAAAATATAAAATAGGACATAATTTTCGTAGTTTCATCAATTTTAATGGATTAAAAGTTTTTATTCATTCGTTCACTAATAATATATTATTTTTAACTAAATATAAAAATTTCATTTCCCGTTTGATTAATCTTTATGCAAAATTAAATATAAATAAATAATCTATTTTTTATAAATTAATCTAATCATTTTTTAAATGCATCTTGGATACTATTTTTATTCAGTTGATGATTAAAAATGGTTTTTTCGAAAAAATAAAGTCTCGTGAATGCTTCAAATCAAGTGGGATTTTTTCTGGATAAAGTTTCCTTTCCAGCAAGATTTTCCAAGAAGATTTTCTTTACTAGGTCTTTTTCTTCTATTCCATGACCCAGACAATAATATTCCAAGTCTTTGAACTGCAATATAATAATCAAATTTGCAAATGCCAGCTGCATGATAATGATTAACAAAATATTGAAACATTTTTAACCCAATTACAAACCGCAAATTGATGAACGTCGAAATTATGAACGACATCAGCATTTCAAAAGGAAGTTAACTATTTAGAGTGAAGCTTAATTGTCACAATAATACTGTTCCGCAATTCAGTGTACATTTATCAAACTCCAAGAATTTCTAGTAGTCTGAAACACACCATATTTATCAACATTATAAAGTGATTCTGTGGCTCCTCACAAAACCGACGGAATCAAGAATTGAAATAGAAGTTTGCTTGACAAAGTATCAGCCACATATCCGTCCTCTAGTTTCCTTTCGACTACGACTGTTTGGCAAAGCTTGTGTCGGTATTGAACGTGACGCCACCACCAAGTGTTAAGCTCCGTTTAACCCCATGCCCGGTTTACCCGATTCTGTACGCTATAAATTACAACTCTAACCGTGGAATCTGCGAGTAACCGAAAGCCAGATCAGTCAGATGAATAAACAAAAAAGTGTAAATAAATTGTGTTATCTCTGGTATTCCTTTCAACTTCCAATTAAGCTGATGATATGGAATATCTTTTAATCTTTCATGTGGAACCTTATTAGAGATTGTCGTATAGTGTCGTGATAATTTTTAATGTAATAAAGTAAATATGATAATTACACGTGCTTTTGATGAAAAATTTATCAATAGAAAAATTTAAATCATTTTTTTTTCTCATGTAATTTAGTCTACATATTTTTTATTCTTTTTTCTACAGGAAAAAAAAATGAATGAAAGAATAAAATTAAACAGACTTTGAAAGTAGGCTAAATAATTTTACAAGAAATTTTTTAATTTTTAATTACCCAATAAAAATTCAATACTTCATTCATTATTGAGTAAAGAATGAAGAGAATACAAACAAGTATCTTGAAAAATTTATTATTGGAATTTTTCCGGATATTCATGTGCTGTTTCTTATTTATTGTTTAGTTTCATGAATGGTTTGACTATATACGATAGAGAGAAAATGACGGTGGATTATTGCCAAAATTTATTTGTTCAAAATTATGTGTGGAATAACATGAAAAGTCTCGCACTTTTTTCTTCGTCTTTACATGCATTTATTTATGATCAATGGCAGACTCACCGGTTCCAGTATTTTCTTGGCAATCTTTACGAAATACCCTAGTTTATGTCAAATTATTCATAGGGAAAATCGGGTCACCATATCAATGATGACAATGATGATGTCATATCGACGTCAATATGTAATTTTCAGTTACTTGCCCAATTTTCTTCGCACCATCTACTTCACATTCAAGTCGAGTTAGAAGTAATGACATGGGAGTTTGATCGATTAGTGGTTTACACTAAGTCTGATAGATTATGCATCACTGAATAGCATGAATAAATTATTTTTAATTTTATTTCAACTATGTTACAAAGTTTTGTATTAGAATTGAGCTGCTATAAATCTATACATGGTTCTAGGTCAAATGCATATTACAAAAGATGAGCAACAACAACCACAGTAATTCTCTTTTGACACGCATCTATGTAATTACTTTGTTAATTTTTTCGTTATCATTTGAATAATAAAAATTCATAGCTAAGTTGAAGAAGAAAATAGTTGAAAGAGTGGAAATAAAGAATGACTTGGATAGCTTATAAGTTATATAAAAAAGATCATAATTTTGACAATAAAGATAAAAAAATAGTTTTAACCAGCCAAGCTTATAACTGATGATCGAGAGAAGCATTTTATCGTACTTCATTGGTCTTTAGCTTTTTCATTTTCTTCATTTCAAGAGCTGTAATCTTTGTAACGATTTATGTGTATGATTTTAATATTTTCTTCTTTTAAATATTCCTTTTACATCAGAATTATTATATTTTTTAAATTAAATTCTTTATAACAAATTAACATCATTCTAACTAAAAATTGAAAGAAGTTGAAAATATTTTAAATAATAAAACCATTAAAATTTCAATATCTCAACATTTTTTAAACTTGAAGTAATTTATAAAAAGCTTCCTTTAATTGAAACAGAAAAAAATTCCTTTACAAATAATGAATTCTTAATTATTAAACCAAAACTTTCTTCAGCTTTACCTTTATTTTAATTTAATATTAACTCTATTATTCTATTAATTATTTAATTAAATTCATTTCCCACTGAAGGAATTTATTATCAAGAAAGTCTCAATGTTACATTACTTATTTCCACTTGAAAATAAAGCTTTGTAGTAACAATGATTGTATTCAGAAAAACTAATCGAAGTAGAAGGAAATCAAAATATATATTTGTAACAAAAAAGTTGGAAGTCTAACAGCTCAATACTCAATAGCTTTAGTGTAGACAAATCGCAATAGAAAATGCTCAACTGATAGTAACTTGGATGCCATAGACAACTTGAACTTTTAAAAGTTTGACGTTCACGACTCTTCAGTTATTCCTTCAATCCCTTGCTACAAGAAAAAGTAACGTGTATGAGAGTAGCGTCAAAAGTACTTCCGTCATTTTCAGAACAGACTGTTAAAAGCTCGTCAGAAGTTGCTACTTAGTTTGTTCCTGTCTATGTCTTAAAGTTTTTCAAGGGCTAATATTTTTATTTCATTCATAAAAGGAAATCATGTACAATTAATTACCGAAATATCAACAAAAGCTCTCTTTATTACGATCATTTCTCTCCTTGTAAATATTTAGTGTATTTTAATTATAAGAAGCTTCAATTAAATTCAAATGCAATGTGATTGAGAAGAATCTCTTCCTACATATGCGAAAATTGGTGCCAAAAAAAAAAAATTAGGTCGCAACGATAGTAGTTACCATTACGTAACTTTTAATGGGTCATGTAAATTAACTTCTGTTATAATCTGCCTCACAAAAGCTCGCGCACAAAAATATAAGAAAATCTCACGTTGGATTTTTAAAAATATTTTTGCACAATTGCATTCTATTAAAATTGCTATACACTACGTGTACTTTTCACCATACTAAGAATTACTTACGTTGCATTCGGTGATTTTTTTTGTATTTCGTTTTTCTTCTTCTTTGCAGCTTGCTTTTAACTTAAGTTATTTTGATTTAACGACCAGTGATCCATGACGAAACACTTCAATCATTCTGTACCTCAATATATATCTGTATATATATTCTTTAAGTCTCAGCACGAACATTCAATGCACGGCTCATAGAATTTTAAGACAAGGTAATAAAGCTGCGATTCGAGTACTCGGTCACCGTGTCATCTTACGGATCATGTGTATAGCATGATAACACAACCGTTTAAAAGTTTGATAATGCATCATTTTTCTTTTTTCTTAGTTTAAAATATAAATCCGACTAAAACACATACACACACATTTCTTGATAATTATTGATCTTTTAAGAATTCGATCTTAATTCAAATATCACTTACATTATTCGAGTGTTCTAAAAGCTTCTGTCTTGAATATCGATTCAAACCCCTTTGGAGAAACTCATCCTCAATGTAAACAAAATAAAGAAAACAAAGACACCATACTAATGCCTTTTAACAACTAGTCTCTTTATCATTTCACTTGGTAACAACAATTTATATCAAACTCATGCAAATTAGATTGTTATTTTAGCCCACTTTTTAACACTCGATTTGACATCTTGTTTTTGTTCATCACCTCTTTTTTTTTTTATTTATCGCACTTCAATTTTATTTATCATTTCAACTATAACTGCATTTTTTCCAACAACAAATATTTATTTTTCTTTTCTTTTACAAACAATTTTTTTTCGATAAAAAAAAAAAGTATTAAAAATATTTTAAAGTGTCTAAATTTATTTTTTTGTTGGAAAAGAAGCTGCTATTGAAGTGTACCTAAATGACTTGATAGTGACAAGTGATGTGTGATAACAACAAGAAGGCTTGAAAACATGTAAAGTCGATGCCACTAAAGGCAACGCGCTTCACCAGGGGCGCGGCGTAACTGAACGTGGAGTTTTAGTCCCCAGCGGAGGGTGCTATCTTGCTCTCTATCATGTGCGCCCTCTTTCCACTGCGTCGCTCTCTAAAGCTCCATACCCTCCTTCAACGTCCATTTCTTCAACACTCTTTACTTCACACCCGTTCTCTTTCATGCTTTCGTGTTGTTTTCTAATTCCGTCATGTCATTCCTACCTTTTTATTGGAGTGTGTATTTATGATTAAAAAAAAACTCATGAACATGATATCATCTGATAACATCTTCATCCAATGCGTCAAAATATAATTTAATCAAGACATCATCCTATTTTATTCTTTCAAACTTTTTCTCGTTTGTAAAAAAGTTTAGTCATGCTGTAATAAATTTATGATGAAATTCAGATAGAAAGTGTCATCCTTCAAGAAAATCTTAAGCAAATAATGAACTTTTATTAACACTTAAGGCTTATTATTTATTTTGAATGGTGTATGGAAGAAGAGCCATGAAATGAAGAAAAAATAATGTCAGAACAAAGTTAAAGTGTACTAATTTTTACATAAAAAAATTATCTTTTTATTGTCTCACATTTTTCTTGATTTTTTTTACAAAATATTTGCGGTATTACAAGTATTTATTGATTACCAAATAGGTATTGAATTCCTTGAAATATTTTTAAGTAGTTCATCTCAAGTTCAGTCAGACATTCGATATTTTTTGAAAAAGGCATGTTAGAGTTAAATATTTCGAAAATTATTATTTTTTTCATCGATAATAGAGTCGGTGGTTGACACATATTATAATGTGGAGAGATAAGAAAATTTAATTTCAAGGAAATGATATGAAATTTTATAAATATTTACCTAGTATGTTTTTATTTTATTTATTTCTCAAAGACGATTAAGAACGGTTTGAAGATAAAATCTACCTCGTTTTATAGCTTTGTAACGCAATGTAGTTCTTTGAAGAAAAATCACAGAAGATTTTGTGGAATGAATTCTAGAGCTCACACCTTAAGTTTTAATTTCCTTTTTCAAAACAAAACCACATTTCTTGAGTAACCAAGTCACTGAACTGTGCCATAATTTTTGTCGAAGATAAGATCGTACAATTAGTGAATGAAATAAAAAGCTTAAAATAAAATGGTTGTATTAATTGATAAATAAATAATTTCAGTAAAAAAAAATGTTAATTTCAACTGCAACTTAATTAATTTAAATTCAAAGGATTCAACAACTATGACATTATTTCATCGCATGCCATTCAAAAAGCTCTCGTATGCCAGATACAACTCTATTCCAGTTTATGGTTCTTATATTAAATGATAACAACTATCATAGTAATTATAAGCTTCACACAACTAAAACTACTCCAAGAAGTTCGGCTAATCTATTCACTAAGACAATACATCATAATTATATTATTTAGATTAACTAGATTAACTAATTATTAATATTATTTCAATAGAAAATTTTAATAATTAAACTTAAAATACCAACATTCAGATAAATATTTGATTCTTTTGGAGAAAAATAAAAAACTATAACATTATTTCTCAGAAGCATAATTTATATAGGTGACATGAATTTATTTTTCGTAAATATGTTTAGTGTGGTATTCTATTTTCGGTAAATTTAGAATTGGGTTTCCTTGAATCATGACCACCGAGCGGATTGTTGTATGTCTCTGGGGGGTAATTGATCCAAGACAAAACACCTATCACCCACAAAAGCCATGTGTCGGAAAATTTACATCTAGATTTTTCTCGGGTTATTCCACGTATTTTTGGTGCATCCATGTCCTAAATTAAAAGGACCAGAATGTCTACGATAAAATATAGACATTAGTTTTTTCTATTTAAGAAAAACCATTTTAAATAAATTGTTTTATCAGGAAAACAATAAAAAATATTCAGATAATAAATTTAAAAAAAATCTTTTAATGCAATATAAAACTTCTTTAAAATAATTGAAATCAATTAAACCTCTTGAAAGAAAAAAAAATTATTCTTCATTGAATTTATAAATAAAAAGCTTAGTTAAACTTTTGATTATTTTTCATTTCAGATATCTGATGAATAAATTAAAAAAATAATGTGATATTTATAGGAGATATCGATGACTTTTTCGTATAATTTATTGGCAATGAGTGATGTGATAGGATATACGATGAGACTATTGCGGATGTTATCTATTTGTGATAAATTTAACGACATGATAGCTATACATTATTGTTGCCAGATTATGGCCATACTTTGACTGAGTGCCGTAAAGTTTGAGCTTTCACTTCATGTATAGATATAGGCAAATAACCATTAGTTTGCGCCAAATTTCCGGTGATGAACCCAAGTTCACAGATCTTTAGTCCTTCAAGGATATGCTTTCTAATCTTGCTGTGCAGAGACTAGTTTGCAGGGTATTAAAAGGATTATCTCATAAGGACTCGAGCTTTACTTAAGAAATTTATTGATCAATAACCATTAAATCTTACATTAGTACATTTATTAGTTTTCTAACAAAAATCCTCTTCCACAAATAATTTAGAACATTTATTACCAACTTCATGACCGAAAAACTTCTAATAATATTTTTATTGGAATTTATTTTTTAATATAAAAAATAAAAAAACAACTGAAAATAAGTTTATTAAAAGCTTAGACAAAAAGTTTTATAAAGTAATTAAAGAATATTTAGTGCATATGAGAAGTTATATTTATCGTCTCACAACATAAATGAACATTCAGTAGTATTATCTGCATTTAGTCAGACATTTTTATGCTTTTCAATCTTTCAAGGGATTTTCTAGTTGGATGCCTATAAAAACTCCGAAAAAAACACTAAAAGAAGCTTTGAACCGATTTTTTTATTAGCATGACTTTATTCTAAAATGAACAACTACCTTTGGGAAATCAAAATAATTCTTTTCATTCCAACCATAAGTTTTACTTAATTTAATAAACTGTCTATATCTCTCGAGAAGCTTCGATTTACAAACTTGTTTACCCTGAACTCTAGTATATTTGGATCACTTAGTTTCACTTTTTATCCTACGGAATTTGAAAAAAAAAAATCGTCTTCTGTTTTGCATTAATTTTATTATAAATAATAATGTCATCCTTATGCTAGAATAAATTCAATTTATCCACCCAAAATTTTCTACAGATGACATTTATCTCATTTATTCATCCAAAAGATATAACTCTATTCAGGAATGAAGTTAAAAAAAATTTACAATATTATCTTCAGCTTCAATTTCCTTTTAAATATTCTAATACTAAATTTATCGTTAATATATTTTAATAAAAAATTTTATCAAACATATAAAAGAAATTTAAATCTGATTCTATTTTACAGACTTCATTACAGACAATTCGAATGATTGTACAATAATAAATACATGCTGAAGTTAATTATTAACTCGAGAAACAGATAAAAATTAAAGTTTAAATTGATTAAAGTAATATTGTTATTTGACAATTAAATATAAATACAATTTCTTAACACCAATTTTCTTTACGCTCCTAACAGTGTTATTATGCCTTGATAGAAGCTTGCTACGTATAGTAAACTTTTAGCCGTATGCCATTAAATTCAATTATGGCTCAGAATATTATCTTTCCAACATAGTTTATGTGCATTTTCCATACACACTAGATAAGCATTTCGGATTTGATTCCACAATATACCATAAATTATTCATAATTCGACAGATTTAGTTCATTACAGAATTTTAGCATAAACTAATGATGAGATAATTTTCTGTTAATTCATTAAAATTATTAAAATATTACATACATTAACATATGTATATACACATTTAAATCAAAGTGGTATGTATATTCGTCATATAACATACCTGGTAAAAACACTAGTATGATAAACGATAAAAATAACGATGTCACATGAATGTAATAAATAAAAAAAATCATTTTGTTTTTTGACGTAATCACCTTTTCCCATCTAAAAGACCTTATTCATCTTTTTCTTAAGGATATAAGTCCGTTCTTTTAAAAAGTTATTTTGACTAGCTGAAAAATCGTGTACAATGACTATTATCACCCTGTTATTATCGTCAAACTTTTCGCCTCTCACAAGTGCACTCTTATTATTAATCATTACATTAAAAATATAAAACTTTCAAAGTAGTTTTTCCAACTGACATTGTTGCAATGTAGAGAGTTAGATTAATAGCATTGATCACATAATTTTAATGTTTTATTTTTTTTATAACAAATGTATTTTTTATGCAACACCATTTCCTTTATGACAGTCTATTTTTCTTTCTGTTAATCAGTCATTTATTTTGTTAAATTAAATATTCATCATTGATGAAGGATGGTTTGTTTATGTTACATCATAATGAAACAATGAATTGCAATAATTATGATTTATTATAGATGCAAATTTTTTTTTCAGTCTAATAATTGAATAACATGCAAACAGAATTCAAATGTGCGTTGATCATGATGCATTTGTTGTTATTATTATAATCATCATATGCTGTTTTATGTTCTGGAGTTCAAACTAGAAGCATTGCTGCCAATTTTTCAAATTCCATGTGGAACACTTACAGCTCCCTTCACCATTACATTTAATTTTATACAAGAAAATGAAACTGCATTACAATGAATTTTCCAATAACATAGTTAATAAAGAACACTTTTATTCCTAGCCCATTGGCTCCAATGTCATAGCTATTTTCCATTCAGCAGGATGCCAAAGTCCTGGAGCATACTTGAAGTGAACTAAACTTTTGAAAGAAAAAATGGAGACATGCTGTAGTGGGTGTACTTAGTTATAGAAGGAAATTTCATCAAGAAATATAATAAGGAGAATTCCACTTGAGTTGGTTTGAAAGGCGTCAAGACGTGAAAAAGTAGAATAAAGAGCTGTTTATGATTCTATGTATACATAGTCATTTCTATAAAAAGTTACATAAGCCATCGGAGTATCGTTGTATCGATATACATTACACTACTGGGTCTTTGTATCAAAGCATAACACGCAG